CACCGAGTGGGATCGAGACGAGCCAAGCCCTGCTGTCTGACTTACTCACCCTAATTCACACAAACACGTACACCCTGTATACTCGCACACACTCTGACTTTAATCTCCCAAGACGTTACCTCGGCCTCAATGGGAGGCATTTTACTTTCATGACTCCCCGCAGCTACTGAAGTCGGCCCCGCCCAGCTAATTTTTGATAACAGTGTCAAAGCCGCGGAGCGCTTTTATATATTTGTTCAACCCCAGCTGGAGTGCAGAGGAATGCCAAGTGCAAGCAGGTGGGGAGTGTGGGTGTGTGACTGTGTGTGTGTCACTGGATGGGGGGAAACATGTCACCGTGCACAGGCCCACCGCCATTTTCTTTGTACTCATAAGGAGAACTTTACTGACTGCAAAGCCACAGTCATAACACAAATCACCTTGTAAAAGTGTGTGTTTATGGTGTTTTGGGGACTACAGGGCTTCTGGAAGCTTGGGAACACACAGCTGTGATACTGAACGAGAGAAAAAACATGACTCAAAGTGTTTGCTGTTGTCAAACTGACGGGGTTAGGACCTGAGGCGTGCTTGGGAGAAGTTGATGATTTTCAAAGATCTGTATTACCCACCACGCATTGCTCATACGGTCAAACACTGGACATTTAGTCTGAGTCATAATATTTCGTTTTTATTAAAATAAGTACATTCCAGGGAAGATCAGGCGCTTTAAGAGCTCGCTCGAATTAACATCATCCCGCAGACTAGGAGGATGAAGTTTATGACACATTTTCCATTACATAACTGCATTCCCTGCGCTTGGATCAGAGTATTTTGGTCAGCGCTCAGCTTGATGTATGCAAATAAAGGCTGGGCAGCCCAACTGAAGGCTAATTTCATTATACAGCTTTAAGTAGATTAGTCACAACACAAACATCGCAACTGGTAAAGTGGCAATGAGTCAACAGCCACAAAAATGTGTGGTGGCATTGGGACAGAGCAACACAGTAGTTATAAAGATTTATTTATTCATAATTATTTTACTCCTCCACTCTCGTTGTGAAGGGTTCATCATGCAGGGAGGCTCTAGCAAAAAGATGTATTTGTGTTGTATTATGGGAAATGTAGGATCCAGCATTTTAGCCAGATTCTGGAATAAAAGTCAAGATATCTTTTTTGCAATTACTTGAAATATACATAATATTAAATTATTTGAATGAACATTCAGTTTTCCCCTTCTGCTTCCCTTAAAGCACCCATAAGTTTTACGTTAAAGCCCTATAACTGCACGCTGTCTGGCAGTATATATTTTGTATCTGCTTGTTCCAGCCCTTCACTGAAGCTATACGATGTTGATAATGAGTAAACTATTCAAACTTAGGGTTAGGCTCATTTTGTTGCTGCATGTTTCCATCAAATGGAAATATTCTAGACGACATATTTAGTGTCTTTAGAAACTTTCAGGAATTCAAGCTAAAGTTCTGTGGTTCAGAAAAATGTTTAGTCTGTAATGACTGGAGGGTTGTGGCCGGTTGAGAAGTTGAGAAAGTTGAATCAAATCTAACGAATTAATAAACCCTTAGGAATCTTAGTGACAGACTCAAAAACAGTAACTTTTAAGGTGCTAATAAACACACACTTTTCAGTTATGATAATTTGGTGCTGACAAGTGTTGATTGGAGACTTGTCTGTCTGCTCAGAAAGCTGTTATAGCTGGCAGCTGTTCAAAACTAAATTAACTTTGATTGGTGTCAACCGCCACAAACACTAGCATTTTCATTTTAACACTCAATGACTTAAATTAACACTGATTATTTGGCTGTGCGGTATGAAGAAGTGCAGCTTTTCGCCTCCTCAGATCATCACAGATTAAAAACTTGTTCTGCGTTGAGAGGAACCTGCTGCTGTTTACAACCTACCACTTCAAATCAAAGAGTCAAAAGTGTGAATTCTGGGCTTTTATGGCCTGCCGAAAGCCTGCTGGTCTTGATCCTAGTCCTGGCCTTGGGTGTAAAGAAAGGCCAAAGAGGGGGAACTAAATTGTTGAAAGGCAAAGTTCCTGTTACAAGGATTAAGGACAATGCTTAACACCCTTGTTCAGGATAATAAGGTAGTTTCAATGCAACTGCACATTCACTCATCATGAACACTTGCACGCTCAAGCATACACACACACAGACACACACAGACATACACAGCATCCACTGATCCATTCACACAATGTATTATTGCTTTTATCATAACACAGACTCATAGTGCGTTTACTCAAGATTTTAGATTTTAGTACGAGTCAATGCAAGACTGCTCGCATATAATCTCAGTGTCATTTAAATGCTGTTTTTTTTTTTCTCTCCTCTGCTGCAACACAACAGCCTCATTGTTCCCTCCTCATAACCGAGATTAAAGAACGGTTTAAGTGGCTTCAGAATCGCCGGGGGAGCCCATCTCTGGCTAAAATCATTGTTTTCGTGTAATTAATAGAAAATGAGGCAAGCCTTTTCAATAAACGAGTGAAGGACAGATAACAGGGAATGGGACACACGATGCTATTGTTCCCCCGGCTTTTCATAGTCTTGAGAGGTACACAAACGTCACGCATGGAGGATGGGACGGGGGGCGTAGGCTAACACAGCTGTGCAGATAACATTCAGTGACGCTGGAGTGGAAAGAGAGGAGCTGTCACGTAGCGAAGGCAAGACCGGCCAGCCAACCGACCAGTAAGCCGGATAGCCTCGCTGCTGATTTTGATGCCACGCTTATGACCATGAATGGAGGAAGAAATAAAAGATGAAAAAAAAGAGAAAAAAGCTTGTGATATGTTTGCATTTTTATGTGCAGGGATTAGGACTGGGGGGGGCTGTAGCATTGCCAAGCAGTATCTTGACTATTGTGTGGCTGTTGCTATGTAAGATTGGCAGGGACATGGACTCACCTGTGCCAGGAGGAGTCCTTATCCTGTATCAGACATGCTTAATGACACTGTGTTAAAGAATTGTGTTATTTTGAGCCAGGGGACTTTCCGCAGAGCAAACAGAAAGACAAGAATGCACTCACGTCAGCACACGCCTTAATGTTCAAAGACACATTCGACTGAAAGTGTAAAATGATTGCTCCTCAGTTTGAACCAATTATGGTGTGCATGATTGAAGCCATAAGAATCCCGGCGCTAACCTCAGGGGCATTTTCTTCTTCCCTTTTTCTTTCTCATGACTTCACTGTGAAAGCGCAGCCTTCCTGTCTTTGTCTAAATTGAACAAGTAAAAACATAAAAGTAATCCACACTTTCCCATGCAAACAACGGGCTGTTTGGAAATATCAAGGAGCCACGTTAACAGCAGCCGGCTACACAGATCATTTCCAAGTACATGGGTTTTATTTTTCTTCTGACTCACAAGATGAATCTGTAAATAAACATTATGCCCCTGAAGAAACAAGTGCATTTCCATAGCCCTACTTTATCCTCATTATCTCTCATTTAACTTTCATACAAACACTCTGCCACACTGGCGTGGCAATTAAGTGTAGTTCAACACAGGGTCAGAGATGTAAATGCAGTGGAGGGTCTATAACTTAAAAATTAGCCTAGCTTGACAAACATTACCTTTAATTGTGAGAACACAATGTGTTCTTGAACCGCAAAATTACTTTGTAATGCAGAAGACATTTTCATCATTGAAGACAGTTGAACTGAAACTGGTAATGGATGCTGTGCTTTAAAATGAGGAACGAAAAATGCAGTGAACAAAGGGACAGGGGTTTTCTGCAGGAAATAGTCTACAGTGGTTTAATAGTTTCCATTGTAGTTTTGCAAGTGCTGCTCAACCCTGACAAGAACCTTTTCAAACATCTTGCTCTACTTGTGGGACAGTGATTCACATATTCAGAAAGTAAACACTATAGGTGTGTACACATGAAGGGAATTTTAAGCACTTAATTGGCACCCCGTGGTCATTTGTTAGCTGTATGTTCAATTAGCCTACATCCTACACAACGACTGTGTTGGCGGAGTGGAGAATTGTCTTTTGTTTGACAGCTCAGACTCGAACTTGCCAATATATTCCGTTAGAACTGCTTGTCTGATGGTCTGTTAACTTCAGAAACCCTAACCCTAACCTTTCTAATGTTGGATTCAAACAAGGGTTTGTTTGTTTTCAACTTCATTTCCAGTGCTGTACTCAAGATCACCTTTGTCAAGTCCAAAGAGATTCAAGTCCAAGTCAAGGTACTACAGCACTGACTGTTTCTCAAGGAGTCTATTTGTGGCACTTAGCGGATGGGACATAACCCAAATTAAAATGAAAGTACAGGTGAAATACATTTTTCCCAAAGATGATTTAATTCTTGAGCTATTTATTTATTTATTTATTTATTGTATCTACAGAGTAAGTGGGTCCTCTTCCATGCAGGCTGCCATGTTGAATCGCCATGTTTCTACAGTTACCCAAAATGGACAAAACAAACTGTTTCACATCCACAGTAGCAGCCACAAGCAATCCCCAAAGTAACTTGTTGAATCAGAACTTGATCTAAAACCCCACAGTGTGCTGAGTTGAGCAATGGCACATTTTATTGCTTATGAATTCCACTTCATAAGCAATAAAAAAGAGAAGATACACCTTTACAAGAGCACACACTGTAGATCAGTATGGGCTAGAGGAATAATTTGGTGTGGTGCAATACTTATTTATTCACTTATGTCTGAGAAAAAAGTTAATTGCAAAATTAATTTACATCTTATCTACTTTACAAATATCTTGACGAGCCACTTTCATGAATGATGGGATGATGTGAATATGATGAAAAATACATCACAGAGACACTACATATAGGGTCTTCTCGGGTCATATATTAAGAAGAAAAAAACACTTTTTAAGTTTCCAATAATAACACAGTAGAGCCTATTAGTAGTGTGTAATATGTGCTGCTACTGCAAATACATTAAGATAGTTATAACTGAAACTGTACGTTAGAAAGAGCCCAGGGGGAAAAGCAATACAGGTCAGACCAAAAGTATTGTTATGAAATATAATTTTTTGCAAAGTAGCTAATGCTGTTTTGATTAGCTGTCAGTACGCTGTCACATCAGAGTTCATGTGAGGTGAACTGTGCAGTGGAATGACAGACTGCAGATGGAGAGGGCGGGTGGATGAATGTAAGTTGGCGTATGTCAGATAAATGAGCCAAATGAAGACTTAAATCCCAAAATAAGACATCAGCATCTGAAACAAACAAATAAACAATGTCACAGCTGTTATAATTAGCACCAAAATAAAACATCTGGGTGTTTTTTTGTATACCAGATGAGTACATCTCTCTGCCAGAACCTCTGTCAATCACCACAAAAACATTTCAAAGCCGCTCTACAGTCCTTCCCTGTGACTGACAACATACCTGACATCATCTGAATGCTGCTGCTGCTGCTGTTAACTCCACCCGTCTGGTATTTCAAACAGGTTAAAAACAAACACTTGAATCATTTGCAGCTACTGTTTCACTCAGGTCTGAGCGTGTACGTGTTCGCGCATGGCCACATGTCGGATTTAAACATCCTCAGCTGTGAATTCATGAGGGTAGGATAGGTTTCAGATAATAGCCCACATCTCACAAGAAAAACACAACGTAACTAACAAAAATCTGACTACACGTTGCCAAGACCACTTCAGTACGGTTCCAATTTCCCTCTTAAAAGGTTTCTCAAAGATTCAGGTGCCAAAGAAATTAGAAGGACATTCCATGGCAGTACGATGTGCATGATGGTTAAAGAAAGGGGGGTTCTGGTGTATCTCACATAGCATGTACTCTCATTTCCTGCAGCTTTGAATTTGATTTGTCATATTTCTTCTCTCTCTCATATTTCATGCCACGATCCAGACTAATAAAGCAGCAACGCCTTCAATACCATTATTGTCCTCAACATTTCAACTCTTTTCTTTCGCCAGGTTTGCTTTGCTGCAGGCCTTCAGGCAACACTGATGCCTCACCTTTGTACTTCTCGAGCATGCGCCTGCTGTCTGGAAGCTGCAGGGCCGGGAGACGATCCAGGGCCGCTCTGCTTTCAGAAGCTAACTGAAGATGGATGCACACGTCAGCTCGAGTCCAGTGCCCACATGTAAACAATGAAGCTTGACCTCTTTCATCTCTCCGTCCCTCCTTTCCACTGGCAGACTGGCAAGGGGTGGGAGAAGAGATGAGAGGAGAAGAAGAGAGAGTGGAGAAGAATGAAGTGTAGGCCAAACCTCACCTGAAGCAAGGAACCTTGCCTGAACTTAACCTGAAGCATTTTATACCACAGAAAATGTGGAGGGGGAAATTGGGCATCCCAAAAAAGGCCTTTCCTGTAACTGAGGCCAATTTTTAGAACTTCAAAGCTGTGGAGGCGATGTAAGGAGGGCACAGATTGGGGGAGGAAGCTGTTTGCAGTGTTGGGAAATGGTAGCAGTAGGTACATTTACATTAGTATACAATTTGAGGCACTCTTACTTTACATATTTCCATTTTATGCAACTTTAAAGTTGCTGTAAGAGATATTTTTTGTTTAAAAATATTCAATAGCTCTACATTCCAACAGCCAGCACTGATATAAGCCTGTTTAGCTTATATAAGCTTAGTTTAGGAGGGGACTGCTAACTGTAAGAACGAAGAAAAATGGTTAAAGGTCAAACCAGTGCTTCGGCTTGTGACCCCGTTGTATGGTATGGTATTGTGTCATATTGTATCGTATCACCACCATGAATAGAGCCGTATTTTTGTTCATTAATTCCATATAATGCAGTCACAGGGAGAGTACATTTTAGTTGATAATATATAATCTACTTTTACTGAGGTAGTATTTTGAATGCATTAATTTATTACTTTTTATATAGTTGTACTGATACTTCCTCTGGAATAAATGAGTTCTGAGCACTTCTTCCACGACAGGGGGGTTTGGGAGTTGGACGCAGGGGAGGAGGAGGTGGGAGGTGGGAGGTGGGGTGTGGGGGGCAGGGGGTTGTTCTGGCTCGTACCATCCCAGAAATAACAGTAAGGCTGCTGCTGCGGCTGCTAGAGAGGAGAGCAATCATGCATTTCAGATTTTTAATTAATGGAAATGATTGTCAGGCTCTCTGCTCCGTCTGTCTCTTTATCAATCAATCATGATAAGCCTTTAACTGTGCTTTGTGTGAGTCACTGCGTCCTTCCATAGAAAAACATTTAAGAGAATGCGGGAGAGGAGATAGAGCACGTCACTGAACACGTTTGGCAATGGAGGAAGAGCAGCGTTTAGTCCTCATCCTCCATACCAAGCAGGGAATTAACATTATCAGATTAATTAAGTTTCCATGCCGGGGTTTAGAGAGAATAGTGTTGAAGATAAAAGTACATATGTGCGTGTGTGTTGGAAGACTGTGTGTGTTGTGAGAGGTGGACTACATGAAAATCCAGCAGTAATATTCTTGAGAACATGCACATACTATATAGCCCCAGGGGTATTCTTTTTTCCTGTGATTTCATTTAAGAAAAGCCGGCGTTATTATTCCTGGCTGTGTCTATATTGGGGAATAACGCTTGCGGCATGCCATTAGTTATGGGCACGGCACATCCACAAAATCAACCTTACGTCCCTATAAGTTTCCATGGCAACCGCCATACCAACAGAAAAGGAAAACTCTTGTCCCTTTAACACACACACATTTAATCACTTGAGATTCCAGCGGGCTCCGAGTTGAGTTTTTTTAACTTGTCATGCCTTTTGGAGCCTCGCTTTGATGACAACAATACATCACCAACCTCTTAGCGATGGCTGAAAGGCCGACCTTTGACCTCACAATTTGAAGCATGGCCCGGGGTCACACCTTGACCCCCTCAGGGATCAGGGATGAATGAGGTGTGACGACGAGCCAAAGCAGGAGGGCAGGAAGGCGGCGCGACAGCAAGGACGACATGGTTTCTGTCCTCCGTGTGTGACAGACGAGTTTATAGTATATTATACTATATAAATATACATATATATGTATATGCATGAGGATAGAAAGTGGTCAGTTTAACTGAGTCTGGAACTGTGGACAGTCTTTAACATTTGTCCCACTGTTTTAGGACCTTTATTTTACTTTAACTTTATTTGTTTATTTGATATGGACAGAGCATGTTGATTATCATTAGTATAAAACTGAAAGATGTAAACATGCTGGAGTGTAGCAAAAATGTCAATTTACATCTGTACTCCCTAGGCAGGTAATTAATACAGAAACATTATAAGTTACAATATAAAGATGCAAACATACAATATAGATAAAGACAGAATACGTAGTGCAACATGTGTAGTTAAAAGTGATCATAGTTCTGATTTGCCTTAAGCCATTGTTTGAATACTGGATATGTAGAGCACTCCCTTATTACACATCCATCTTTCATGCATGATGGCGTAAATATGAAATGTATCACACAGTGGTACTGTTAAACTGGCAGATGATGGTTTATCTAACTGTATCTCACAGTTTTGCTGCTCCATTTACTGATTCTGTTGATTATGAAAACAGACTCAAGTTAATTGCTGAGTCACGGTGACAACCCTGACTGGTTGAAGCCTGACGGTGCAATGAACACATATTTATTACAAAGTGAAAACAGAAGAGAACAGCACGTCTGACTGTTTCTGGTTTAACTTTGACCTGTACTGTGCCTTGTTTTATATTGTGCTCTCTTCTCATTCCACCTCTAGTTAATCTGGATAAACTGTTGGCTTGTTTACAGCCTGTCTGATCATTTCTCCCTCTGTCAGACTTCATCGTAGCAGTGTCTTCATGTTCCAAGATATCAGCAGTTACTTTGGTAATTTGTGGGCTGCACATTGTTTCTACCTGCAGAGAGACTTGTCTTTTGGCACAAAAGTATGTTTTGATTTAATTTATCAGCTAGATAATGCTTACATAAATATCTCGTACTGTGTGTGTAGACACGCTGTCTGCCTGTATATGTTCTAACTTATTTTCTGCTTTTTCTGTCTTTGTGTAAAGATTGTGCTAGCACAAATAACTTTAACTTATTGAAGCTTTTGGCAACAGCATACGTTGGCAGGTAACAAGTACTGTAAGTACCTGTGTAGAACAATCTATTGACTGTTTTGTCATTCTGAATACCTACAGAACGCTTATGTGCTGTTAAATGTCATAAATTAGTTTTTCATAAGCTTAGCTCTACATTTTAAATATGGATGACATCGCAGGTTTGCATTTTAATTCAAAGCAGCTGCCTTAAGGGAATATAATACTTCATATGGACTGAATTGTCCCTGATTATAGACGCAACCATTTTTTGTACTCACATTAGGTATAGCAGCTGGTTATGAAAATAAAATTACACTTTAAGGGTAATTGTGTGTTTCTTCCAGCTCACAGTATTCACACAAAAAGTGTTTTTTTTTAAGAGGTAAGAAGTTAAAAACAACTGGCACTGTAACCAGAGGCTTTACTGTATGGTTATAAGTACAGCAACTGCTCTCTGCACTACCCAGTCCACCGGGAAGTGGATCATGGACCAAAGGGTGCCCGGTCTGGCATGGACCAGTTGACCAGAGGTGGACTGGTAACTGGAGAGGTAGCAGTTCACCTCTGGGGCACTGCCGTGGTGCCCTTCAGCAAGGCACTGGTCAGGGCACTGTGCTATAATACGTTTCTGTGTGTACTCAGCCCTTTGTGTGTGTGTGTGTGTGTGTGTGTGTGTGTGTGTGTGTGTGTGTGTGTGTGTGTGTGTGTGTGTGTGTGTGTGTGTGTGTGTGTGTGTGTGTAGGTGTGTGTGTGTAAAACCATACTAATTAGAATGAAAAAGATGAATTTCCCAAAAGTGATAAATAAAGTCATTATTATTTTAAAAAATAATATAATATAAATATAAAACAATATTATTAGGTGTACCCAGATAGCTCACCGGGTAGAGTGTCTTCAGCTGTCCTATCTAATAAAGAGAAAAATAATGTATATGAATAATGTATATGTCAACCACAGCTATTGTCTTGTAGTTCCCAGAGTTTTTACGGCCTCTCTCCCATCCTCAGTCATCTGCCAACTAGCATTAACTCTGTGTGATCATGAGGTTAGAGGCATACCTTCATGCATAGTGCAACTCTCCCATGAGCGTGTGAGTTCACAAACAACCCGGTGCAACTCTGACTGATGCCTATGCAAATGCAGAGCGTCAGCACATCAGCTGTCAAGGTATTAAACCTACACCAGACTCTTAAATTACCTGGGGCATTTTAATTATGCTGTGCTGTTATTGTAGCTACTGTGTTCCAAGTGTGACTGCAAGAGGGGAATTTCTGAGAATCGGCAACACAAAGGAGAGAAATATTTATCACCACCGGCTTGTAGATGGTGTGAGAATGTGTGAAGAATTTGCCAGGATAAAATGATTTGTTGAAATAGCTGAGCCTGGAGTGAAGATGTGGAGATCTGAAGCAGGGATTGATGTGTGAAAGATGAAGGGAACTGCACAGGAAACAGATATGCAAGCTGCACAGTATAGCAGCATATGAACCATATGTATGTGCGTATGCTTGTATATGTGAAAATGACATAATGTTTTGATAGTATGCAATGTCCCAAACAATCTTGCATCGCCCCAGTGGTCGGTGTTGGCAGCAGGAGATTACTGTTGGTGCAGGAGGAAACCATTTTCTAATCATGTGGTACGCACCAAAGTCCTGTTTACACACACATTCCCATATGTCTAATCTCAGCGATGAGGGAATCTTTCTCCAGACATCACATTCCACGATAGAACATAACAAGAGCCACACGGACGACTTGGAGAGCGATTAGACAGAACGATTAGCCTGCTGACGGACTGATGAATGGCCTGCTGGGACTGCAGATAACCACTGTCATACTGGATACTGGTGTACTGTATATTTACCACAGTCCATAATTGGAAACATTCACCTGCACCGTTATGTAACCCCAAATCGATGTATGCTGTCTGATATAAAATGAATGATAAGGTCTTAGTCTGTCAGCTTTATGATGACACATTTGCGGTAATATTATCTTAACATCCATTGTACTTCACATGCTTAACATAAAACAACATGTGCTCATATTTAGGGGCTTATATTTTGTATATATATTTATATTGTCTATTTTATTTATTATTCTTGTTGCACTAGCTAAATGTAGCAGTTTACTTCGAAA